AGACTTGTCTCCTTTAAAGAGTCAAATATTCACAAAGTGTTTTTCAGTCTTCCAGGTTAGAAAGGAAAAGTCTTTGAAATCAAAGTCTAACAAATCACTACTTTAATATGCAACAGTTTCCTTCATAACTCATCCTTGAGAAAAAGGGATATGAAAACAAGTTAACAATAATACTTTGCCATCCTAGACTCAAGAGTTAGCCCTAGAAGGGCTCTTAGAGAGCATCTTGTTCCACACCCATCTTTTATGCATAAGAAACCTAAGGCACTAAACAATTCAGTGTCTTACCCAAAGTGACCAAGCAAGATCACTACCGAGACAGCTGATGTTGTCATGAGTACCCAAAACATAACCACACCTACAGAGCTTTAAAAGCAAATGCTGTCCTTCTGAAAGTAACTCTAGACTAGAAATAATGATTCATTCTCCTCCTCTGTGGACTGTTCCCACCCCTCTCTGAAGAACATGTTGAACTTCAGTAAGGTAGAGTTTTCAAAGATAAAGCCTGTGAATTGAATGAGGGAGAGCTCCAGAGCTCAACTTTCTTCAATCTATTATCTCCTTAGACAGAATTGTGAGTTGGAAAGGAACTGAATTCCTGACTTGATCCTACCATGAGTACCAAGCTCTTCTGGTCTGTCATCATTTATTTCCTGGGAACAGGTGAGTCCTAGGAGTAGAGGGGGAGATTTTATCTTAGGCCTGTCAAGTTCTGACTCCAAATCTTTCCTTGGGAGCTTCAATATCAGTGTTCTCTTTGGACTTCTTTCTCATTCTACCACAGGTCCCATGGATGCTAAGGATGCAAGAATTACCCAGAGCCCAAGACACATAGTCACAAGAATGGGACAGAAAGTGACACTAAGATGTGAACAGAATTTGGGCCATGATTACATGTATTGGTATAGACAAGATCTGGGCCAAGGACTCCAACTCATTTATTACTCTACATCTGAAAAAAACTTTCAGGAAGGAGACATTCCTGAGGGATACAACGCCGCTCGAGAAAAGCCAGAGCTTTTTTCTCTTACTCTGCCATCATCCAGAATCAACCAAACATCATTGTATCTCTGTGCTAGCAGTAGAGACACAGTAAGGCAAAGTCAGTTCCTCTCTGTACATAAACCTTCTTCAGCCTGTACAATCCTGAAGTGTTGATTCTTTCTGCTTTCATTATACTTCTCCAACACAGGAAGTTATTTTTGCTATAAACACACACTGTGGGGGGAAATGCTAATTGTGGTAGTCTTATGTCCATATCCTTCACAAAAGTTCTAATTTATGCTTCAACACAGGGAAGAGGTTTGTAAATACCCAGTATCAACTGGTGATTGACATGGAAGTCATTTCTTAACTAGATATCTGAGTGTAATTGGACCATGAACTTATTAGAACAAAGTTCAAAATGAACATCAAATCATGAGACTGAATAAAGATGAGAAAAATATATTGCATATGTATGTAATTATGAAAACTTCATTCTGGCCTATCTAAATAAGCTCTTGATTCTGAAACATTAGGAATAGATAAAGAGATAGATATGGACTGTGATTATTAAAATTTCCTAGAGAAGTATAAATGTCATAAGGCAGCTGCACAGTGAGACAGCCAAAAGAGTACTGAAATCACTTAAGCAATCAACAAACATTTACCATGCTTGTATACTATTATGCACATGTATACTATGTGCCAAACACTATGCTTATGATCTCTACTACTGGAGCCAGTACCAACATTAGTGATATCATTCACCCATTAAAATATCAAAGTATGTATAAATAATGTAGACCAGATTTCTTAAAAAGTGGTCCCTGGCATTTGGGGGTACCCAAAATACTTTGGGGTGTCCTTGAGATCAAAATTATTTTCATAATAACACAAAGATGCTATTTGACTATTAAAAAGCTCCTCCCTTTTCCAACTACATATCTGTATGAAGCCTGATTTTCTTCATTTACTTCAACTGAAACAACATATCACAATAGATTGAATGCGGAAGCAGGTATGAGAATATAGCTGTCTTCCATTAAACAAGACATTAGAAACATATGGAAAAAAAGAAAATCATTGCCACTTTTCCCATGAATTGTTTTGTTTTGGAAAATATTGTTATTTTGCATAAAATTATATTATTTATGTTACTATATAATGAGCTTATTATTTTGAATGAATTAATAAGTAGATATTTTCAAATAGCTTTAATTTCTAATATGGTAAATATTCATAGGTATAACTCACATAAATAAAAGCTCTTTAGGATATTCAATATTTTACAGAAGCATAAAAATTTTCAAAAGTGTGAAGAGCTCCTAAGACCAAAAAAAAATTGAGAATTGTTGCTATAGGGACAACAATGACCTAAGCACAAGACTGAAAAATTGATAATAGGATGGGTTTCATTTAATGCAGAAATATCAATGATTCCTAACTATTCTTATCACATGAATGCACATGCATTTTTTAACACAAACATTCCTCAGCTGATACTATATGGCTATGCATAATGAAACACCATAATCTTTGAGGAAGTAAAATTTCAGAAGACCCAGAGAGCAATGGGAAATCTATGATATGCATAAGTATACTTTAGCATATGAACACTGAAGATTTGCAAGTAAGAAGTACCATAAAATATATCACCAAAAAAACATCCTCAGAAAAAGGAGGCCTGGGAAGCTGGGTGGTTCAGTGGAAAGAACACCAGCCCTGGAGTCAGGAGGTCTTGAGTTGAAATCCATCCTTAGACATTTACTAGCTATGTGACCTTGGACAAGTTATTTAACCCCAATTGCCTCCTCCTTCTGGTTCCCCCCCAAAAGGAAGTAGACTGGCCATGTTTAAGAGTTAAGGTAACAGACATTATGTGAAGTGCCTTACTGGTACACATAAAACACTAAAAGTTCTGATGAGTTGTTCCACAGAGATTCTATGTCGTATTTGTTAGAGGTCATGGGCAAAAATTACATGTGATCAGAAGTTGTGAATAAATTGTAATCTGCATCAGTGGTGGGATGGGATGGGGAATAGGAATCCACATAAAGGAGAGCATGGATACATTCAAGTATCAAAGTGAGACTTATTACACCAACAATCATAGCACTGCTTAGTGAAAACACAGGGCTGAAGAGGGTTAGGAAATCTTCCTTTGATGCAACCTCTCACCCTAACTAGTCAGGTAATTAGTCCATATATTAGTCAAAAGCATTTATTAAGCACATATTTTATTCCAGGTACTGTGTTAAGGATTAGGGATATAAATACAAACAAAAAGAAAGACAGTTCCTTCCCTTAAGGAGTTTACATTCTAATGGGAGAAGATCTCACAGAAAAAGGAGCTAAAGTAGGGTAGGAGGGGTAAGAGGGGGGGAATGGGGGGGGGTAGGGAGGAGGGGACAAGTATCCATGGAGGTGAAATCCAGGGAGTTAAAACCAGAATTGGAAAGGAATGAAGGCAAGCTAGCCTGGTTTCTTCTTTAAAATGGAACCCCAGGAGGAACTCACTAATGGAAGAAGCAGCTTGCAGGTATTAAGAGGTGGAAAAATCCAGAATAATCTTAGACCAGGGAGATTCTTAGGCTTTGGGGTCTCAGAATCCTTTTACACTCTTACAAATTATTGAGAACCTTTCCCAAAAGCTTTCTTATATAGGTAATATATTTGATGTTTGTAGGGAAATATCAATATGTATCATAAAAATTAAAATGTCTTAGAATTATTATCAAAATAGTTTTGATCTTGGGCTCCTTAAAAAGGTCTTAGAGACATCCAAGACCCCCAGATCACACACTGACAGACATTATCTTCGATTATCTTGTTAAGTCATTTTATGTCTCTGAGCCTAGTTTCCTCCATTGCCAAAAAGGTGATTTGGACTCAATTATCTCCAAATCCTCTTCCAAATCCAAAATAATAGAATTTGTAATTGGCTTCAGAGGGCTGACTGTCAAGCAGATTAAGGGAAATGATAGTGAAAAATTACCTTGATAGAATACAAAGGGCAAAATAAATTAGTGCATGATTATCTATCTTCAAACTACAGATTCTATCATTTCATATTGTTTGGATAAAACACAGCGTCACTCTTCATGTTTGGTTCATGTCTCCCCACTCATTCCTTTTCCCAAACCCTCTCTCACTGCACTTTCTCATTCTCACACTCAGTCTAGTCATATCCTGCTCTCTACACAAGGGGTCATCGATGCATTTTGAATCACTTGTTTTCTGCAGCCTTTGTGGACACGTTCTTAAATTCTATAGAGCTATTTTTTAAGTATTTGAATCATTCAGGATGTATCATACACATCACTCTGCTCTATGCAATCTGCAGTCCAGTCAAACCAGGTTTCTTGCTGTTCTCCTACATAACACTCCATCTCCCAACTCAGTGATTTTGTACTGGCTGTCTGGAGTGTTCTTGCTAATTCCTTCTGCAGTTACAAGATTCATCTTCAAGGTTCCTTCAAGATTCACCTCAGGTGCCACTTATTGCACAGTTTCCTAGCAGGTCTCCCCAAGACTATTGCCTTCATATCCTCACGCTCCCCACCGCCAGCCTTCCTTGTTGTCATAGCTGGTCAGTGCTTTTCAGGTGTGTCTGGATCTTTGTGACCTCATTTGCAGTTTTCTTGGCAGAAGTACTGGAGTGGTTGCCATTTCCTTCTCTAGTTCATTTTACAGATGAAGAAATTGAGGCAAGCAGGATTAAGTGACTTGCCCAGGATCATATAGCTAGTAAGTGTCTAAAGCCAGATTTGAATTCAGGAAGATGAATCTTCCTGACTGTAGGCCTGGAATTCTATGCATTGTACCACCTAGTTGCTGCAATAGGTTATGTCTGTATATGTGTGCCTGTTATCACCACTTGCCACTCCCACGCCCAATTAGGATGTAATGAATGCTGTGGGATCATTTCACTTTTGTCTATTTCCCTTGCCCAGTGCTTAACAGGGGTGGGGAATCTGTTCCCCACGCCTGGCTTATTTCATGATATAAATCTAATGAATTTTTGTTGATTGAGTGTGTAAGGGAAGCTCTCCACTTCTTCCAAGTGCCTTTATGTAGTCACATAATGTAGTCATACACCATGAGGTTTAAATATCTTAATGAGGTCTTAATGTCCTGTGATCCCTTTATTAGATGTGAAAACTTCTCTGATTGAGTCAAGAAGAGATTGGCTGAGAAACCAAATTAACCAGCCTCCCTTAAATGTATTTAAAAAGTTGAGCCCTTAGAAGATCAAGGTAGTCAAGGTTCAGAGAAGATGTGGAGTGAGACCTGTAGGGACAGAGGGAAGGGGAGGGAGTGTCTCCCTTCCTTCTCCCTACTAATCATGGCACTAGCTAGTGCTACTGAAAGAATAAGGAAGGAATAAAACAGCTAGGGTTTTTTTTAAGGTATCTTGGGAGAAAAAGGTAGGATCCAACAAGGAAGGGGCAGTCTCCTCCAACTGGATGGCAAGATGACAACTGACAAGAGACAAGTCTGAGCTGCTTATTTCTTATTTTATTGCCATTTACTTTGCCAAGGAAAATTAACTTTATATCAGAAAGGACAGAAGAAAAATGACTCACAGAGTTGCTACCCAAGAAAATAAAGGAAATAGTAAGAGAGAACCAAGCTGCCCTAGAAAATTTCAAGTCACCAGGCCTAGATGAATTATATATTTGCATTCTGTGTGTGTGATTCCTGTGTTTGCTTCCTGTGTTCTGTGTTCTGTGACTGCTGGGCCACTATCAGTGATATTTGAAAGATCATGTTAAAAAGGAGAGGTCCCATAAGATTTGGAGGTAGGTAGGTGGCTCAGTGGATAGAGCTCTGGGCCTGGAGTCAGGAAGACCTGAGTCCAAATCTGGCCTTAGACAGTAATTAGCTGTGTGACCCTGGGAAAGAAACTTAAACTCTATTTGCCTTGATCCACTGAAGAAGGAAGTGGCAAACCACTCCAGTCACTTTGCCAAGAAAACTTCATGGACAATATAGACCAACAGTCAGTCAAAAACAACTGAACAAAGCAACAAATTATTCTTAGGTATTATGGGACATATAAATGAATGTAACAGATTATATATCTACCCATATAGATATTTATATATCACGTAAGTGTGTGTGTGTGTATATATACATAAATATATGTATAAATATGCACACACATTAGAAGTACAGTACTAGGCAATTGGGGCCAAGGAGAAACACTAGCGGGTGGGGTGGGGGGATTAAGAAAGGTGGCATTTGACCCGAGTTTTGAAGGAAATTAGGGATTCAAAGAGGCAGAAGTGAGGACACAGTACATTCCAAGTATGGGAGACAGTCTGTGCCTTAATACTGTCTAGTGTAACCCTCCTTCTGTTTTGAAAATTAGGAAAAGAAAGTCCAGAAAGTAAACACTAAAGCCTGCCTCAAGTCATAAGGGTAATGAAATTATGCTCCCCTTCTCCATACACAGAAACAGAATTTCTTCAATGATCCTAAATTTAAATACCACCAGTGTTCCTGCTAGCTCCTAAATCATAACCACACCTACAGAGCTAAAAACAGTGGCGCTATTCTGAACGTAACTGCAGTCTACTAAGATTTATTCCCCCTTTCAAGGAGATGCTGCAGCTCCCCTTGGGAAGACTTGTTCAGCTACAAGGTTTTAGAAGATATGTTAATTCTGAATCCTCTGTGTTAAGCTAAGGGCTCCCCAGAGCTCAGCTGGTTTTCTACCCCCTCTCCAGGAGCCAGAGCTCTGTTCTAGGAAGCTGCTCCCTTGCTGCCCTGATTCTACCATGGACAGCAGGCTTCTTTGGGGTGTGGTCATTTGCTTCCTGGGATCAGGTAAGTCCTAGTCACTGATGGGAAATTACTTCCTCAGACTTTTTGGATTCCGGTTGAAATCCTATCCCTGAGAGATTCAGTGTCAATCTCTCTCTTTGGTTTATTTCTGCTTCCCCCACAGGTTCCATGGATGCCAAAGATGCCAGAATCATCCAAACTCCAAGAAATCTAATCACAGGAATAGGACAGACTGTGCACCGAATTGTGAAGAGAATTTGGGACCTGAACGCATGTACTGGTACCGCCAGGACCAGGGCCAGGAGCTTCAGCTCATTTATTTCTCCATAACAAGAGGAAACAAAGAGAAAGGAGACATTTCTGAGGGATACGATGTCTCTCGGGAAAAGGAGACATTTGATCTCATTCTACGGTCATCCAGAACCACACAAACATCTTTTTATCTCTGTGCCAGCAGCAGACACAATAAGGCAAAGTTAGCTCTTCTCCATGCAGAAACCTCTTTCATCTCTTACTGCAACTATGAGGTGTTGAATTTTCCTGGCACTTGCTACCCTTCCCCCAACACAGGAAACTATTACTACTTTGAGAAAACTATGAGCTAAACCACTCTTATAGTATTTATCACATACTGGCATGAATTGCAGATCCTTTGAATATGTCACATATCACTTAATGGGCCATGAAATCCTTGAAAGTAACTTTGTGTGTTGTTCAGTCATTTCAGTCACGTCCAACTCTGTTTGACCCCATTTTAAGGCTGTCTTGGCAAAGATACTGGAGTGGTTTCCATTTCCTTCTCCAGCTCATTTTATAGATGAAGAAACTGATGCATACAGGGTTAAGTGACTTGCCCAGGGTCACACAGCTAGTTAAGTGTCTGAGGCCTGATTTGAACTCGTGAAGATGAGTTTTCTTGATTCCAATCCCAACACTCTATACACTGTGCCAACTAGCTGCCACAAACTTTGTGTGTAGCAGAAACTAAAAGAATATTGTCATGCTAATGCATTAATGATTTATTAATAATAATAATAACTCAAGTTCTGTAGTATTGTAAGGTTTGCAAAGTGTTTTACATATATTGTCTCCCTTGAAGGTGGCAGTACACTAGATAGATGACTAGCTCTGGAGTACTAGAACCTGGGTTCAAGTCCTGCCTCTGAAGCGTCCTACCTGTGTGAAATACAGTATGTCATTGAGCCTACTTTGGTCTCAGTTGCTTCAACTCTGCTATGAGATTAGTGAGCGCAGGGTAGATTAAATGGCCTTGGAGGTTTCTTCCTGTTGTACATTTGTGTCGTCTTATGATGCTATCTATGGAGACATTAATGAAGTTCTATTAGTTCTCAGCCAGGCTGCAGTTAATGACTAATCTATATGAACGTACAAAACAGAACTAGTGAGATCTTCGCCACTTAAGAGAGACACTGAGCAGAGTTAATAGAGTTCTTCCAATTATTCTCAAGATATTCCAAGGTTTCTTGGGAAGAAGAGGAGTCAAAGCAAAAGTCTTCATTTGCAATGCTCCCAGAGCTACAGAGACTTTGGTGTTAACATAGTCACCGAGTTCCCAGAGAACATAGAGATGCCAGGAGCCATGGACTCATTGGGCCACTCACATCACTTCATGATGAACAGAAAAATCTACAATAATTGTTGACGTTTTTTCCCCCCTCAAAGTGTAACAGTTACTGTGAGCTCAGTTTCCTAGAGAAAGACTGAAGGAATCTTCCTACTCAGGATTCTAGAAGTGCCCCTGAGGGATTGGGAGTGTCTTTCTCAAATGTTATTGGCTGGAG